TGGCGGGCACCTGTAGTCCCAGCTACTCGGGAGGCTGAGGCAGGAGAATGGCGTGAACCCAGGCCACTGCACTCCAGCCTGGGTGACGAGCGAGACTCTGTCTCAAAAAAAAAAAAAAAAAAGAGGCCGGGCGCGGTGGCTCACGCCTGTAATCCCAGCACTTTGGGAGGCCGAGGCGGGCGGATCACAAGGTCAGGAGATCGAGACCACGGTGAAACCCCGTCTCTACTAAAAAAAATACAAAAAATTAGCCGGGCGCGGTTGTGGGCGCCTGTAGTCCCAGCTACTCGGGAGGCTGAGGCAGGAGAATGGCGTTAACCCGGGAGGCGGAGCTTGCAGTGAGCCGAGATCGCGCCACTGCACTCCAGCCTGGGCGACAGAGCGAGACTCCGTCTCAAAAAAAAAAAAAAAAAAAAAAAAAAAAAGAAACAAAAGAAAAAAAAGTTCTAATTCCATCCATGCTGTCGCAGGTGTATATCCTCATATATTTTAAGTAACAAGGCTTATGTTTTCTGAAACTCTGGGCTTAAGCAATCCTCCTGCCTCGGCCTCCCAGAGTGCTGGGATTACAGGTGTGGGCCACCACGGTTGGCCAGACTTACCTTTTCATTGTTTTTGAGACGGAGTTTCACTCTTGTTGCCCAGGCTGGAGTGCAATGGCACGATCTCAGCTCACGGCAACCTCCACCTCCCAGGTTCAAGCGATTCTCCTGCCTCAGCCTCCCAAGTAGCTGGGATTACAAGCATACACCACCACGCCTGGCTAATTTTGTATTTTTAGTACAGACAGGGTTCCGCCATGTTGGCCAGGCTGGTTTCGAACCCCTTACCTCAGATGATCCACCAGTCTCAGCCTCCCAAAATGTTGGGATTACAGGCGGGAGCCACAGTGCCCGGCTGACTTATCTTTTCTTGACCTTTTTCCCATTATTTTTCGCACAGTGTGTGACGATTAACTTTAAAACTAGCTCACAGCTTGTGGAATGTGGGGAGAATGACACATTTGGAGGGGAATGGTTCTTCCCTGATTCCAGTCTCAGATCTGGAAAATGGAACTATTGAAATTTTTTGTCTTGGGTGGCAGCGTGAATGCGTTTTTGATTGTACAACGAGAGATGGTTGTGCAGGGAGAGTTTCGATAAGAACTTCTGCAAAGGGTCTATTGATATTGAACATTCAAAGCCAGGTAAAGTGGCTCATACCTGCAATCCCAGCACTTTGGGAGGCTGAGGGAGGCGGATTGCTTGAACCTAGGAATTTGGGACCAGCCTGGGCAACCTGGTGAAACCCTGTCTCCACAGAAAATACATATTAACAGGGTGTGGATGTGTGTGCCTGTAGTCCCAGCTACTTGGGAGGCTGAGGTGCGATGATCGCTTGAATTGGGGAGGTCAAGGCTGCAATGAACCAAGATCGTGCTACTGCACTCCAGCCTGGGTGAAAGAGTGAGACCTTGTCTCAAAAACAAAACACAACAACAACAACAACAAAAAACCAAAGGAGCAGGCTATAGTAGATATTTTTGGGGAAGGATTACCTAGCATGTGCAGTCCCTTCCCACATTTAAGGAAATTCCTACTGTCTGAAAGCCTACTGTCTGTTGAAGCCAACAAGAATGGATGTTTGCTTTCCTGCATCTGTTGGAGCTAAGGTGACTTAAGCTTGGCAAATCCTTCCACACTTGGCAAATACTTCCACACTTTTGAATATCAGGAATTGGCCATCTCTTCCAGCCACACATGGCAGCTGGGACAGATTCTATTTTCCAAAGACGGCTACAACACTCTCTTTCTTTTTTCTTTTTGAGACAGGGTCTTGCTCTGTCACCCAGGTTGGAGTGCAATGGCATGATCATGGCTCACTGCAGCTTCGTCCTCCAGGGCTCAAGTGATCCTCTCACCTCAGCCTCCTGGGTAGCTGTGAGTACAGGTGTGCGCCACCACTCCTAGTTAATTTTTTTTTTCTTTTGTAGAAATGGGGTTTCACCATGTTGCAACAGTCTCTTTCATCCCACATGTGTTTCTACAATCAGAGCTTGATACTCTTTCCATCAAGAGGTGGGGTCTATGGCACCCTCCTCTCAAATCTGCGTAGTCTGGTGACTTGCATGCAACCAACAGAATTCACCTGAAGTGAAGTTGCGGAACTCCCAAAATGAGCTAGAAAAGGCCATGCAGGTTCTGCCTAGGTCTTCAGCGGCCATGTAAAGTCTGACTACCTTGAGGCAGCCATGCTGTGGGGAAGCCCAACCTGGCCAGTGCAGAGACCACATGGTGGGGGAGGCCCTAAGACCACAGAGAGATGCCCACCTGTCCAGCACCCCCAGCCACCCTGCGGCCGGCATCACTGATTGCACCATTTGTTTGCATCCTGAGCCAAACAAACCAGCCACACCTTTCTTCAAATCCCAGCCCACAACAACCATGAGACTTAATGCAATGATTGCTGTCATTTGCGGCTAAGTTGTTAAGTGATTTATTACCAGCAACAGTGAATGAGAAGAGCAGCCATATCCTATTTCTGGGGCAGCAGAGGCAGCAAGACAACTACAGTGTCCAGTGGCCATCACCAGCATGGCCTCATCAGACCGGTTCTGTGGTGTCACTGTGGCTGGGTTACCATTGCTGGCCAGCTGCCAGGATCCTTCCTGCTCACTTTCCAATCCTGATTCCCCAGTTCACTCCTGGGATTCTGTGAGCGACCCCAACTCCTCTCAATAAGTTCCCTTTCTGCCCCTGAGGTGGCATCTGTTGCTTGGAACGAAATCTGTGATAACTCTTTCTTTCTTTTTCTCTTTCTCTCTTGCAATCTCTCTCTCTCCCCCTTCCTCCCTCCCTCCTTTCCTCCCTTCCTTGCTTCCTTTCCTTCCCTTCCTTCTTTTTTTTTTTTTTTTTTTTCAGTGTTTCGCTCTTGTTGCCCAGGCTGGAGTGCAGTGGTGTGTACTCAGCTCACTGCAATCTTCATCTCCCGGGTTCAAGTGATTCTCTTGCCTCAGTGTCTGGAGTAGCTGGGATTACAGCTGCCTGTCACCATGCCTGGCTAATTTTTGTATTTTTAGTAGAGACGGGGTTTCACCATGTTGGCCAGGCTGGTCTCGAACTCCTGACTTCAGATGATCCGCCCACCTCGGCCTCCCAAAGTGCTGGGATTACAGGTGTAAGCCACTGCGCCCGGCCCTGATACATTTTTTCAAGCCTCTTGTCCATTAGAATACTTTTTCATCATTTAAAAAATTTTCTTTTCTTTTTTGAGATGGGGTCTTGCCCTGTTGCCCAGGCTGGAGTGCAGTGGTGCAATCTCGGCTCACTGCAGCCCTGACCTCTCGGGCTCAAGCCATCCTCCCACCTCAGCCTCCCGAGTAGCTAGGACTTACAGGCATGTGCCATCATGCCTAGCTAATTTTTCCAAAATTTTTTGTAGAGATGGAGTTTCATCATGTTGCTCAGGCTGGTCTCGAACTTCTGAGCTCAAGCAACCCACCTGCCTCAGCCTCCCGAAGTGCTGGGATTACAGCCATGAGCCACCACGTCTGGCCTCATCATCTTTTAAGTCTCAGCTCAGACATCACCTCCTCCTGGAAGCAGTCCCTGACCTCCCAGGCTGAGTGAGGTGCCCACTCTGGGTTCCTGTAGCCCCCTGGGATTCCCTACCCCAGCCATGCCCACTCTGGGTCATCACTATCTAGGGACGGGTCTCTTTCCTCAACGGAAGGTGAGCCCTTGTGGGGCAGTGATCACTGCTTCCTGGTCAGCATCGCTCAGCCCAGGGCTGGGCACAGGGCAAGGTCTCCGGGAATGGGGCATTTTAAACAAGGTGGAGGGAGGCTTGGGTCAATCCAAGATGAATCATGAGGTGGTATTTCTTCTTCCTCAGCAAGATTTAGACTGGAAGTTAGCAGTTACTCTGGGAGAAAGATGTCAGAGAGCAATGAAGGACAGAGAGAGGGAGGAGAACAGACTGTGGCAAGGCAAGGTGGATAACCATCGGGGAAATGTGTGGTCTTTTGACCAGGGACTTAATCTGGATGTCTGGGTCTGGGTGCAGGGATTTTTTTTGCCATGATGAAGGAGAGGGCTGGATGCCTGGTTCTCTGAGATTCTGGACTTCTAAATCCTGAGAGCAGGACTCCTGGGTATCACAGAGAGGGCTGGGGGCCCAGTTTCTTTTGGTTTCATTGTTTTTTTTGAAAGACAGGGTCTCAGTCTGTCACCCAGGCTGGATTGCTGTGGCAGAATCACAGCTCCCTGCAACCTCAGCTCCCTAGGCTCAATCTTTCCCGCTTGGCCTCCCAAAGCCTTGGAATTACAAACGTGTACCACCGTGCCTGGTCCCAGATTCCATTTGAAGATCTGAGGGTGGAGGGGGCTGGGGGCCTGGACTCCTGAGTCTGAGGGAGGAGGGGCTGGGGGCCTGGACTCCTGGGTCTGAGGGAGGAGGGGCTGGGGTCTGGGCTCCTGGGTCTGAGGGAGGAGGGGCTGGGGTCTGAACTCTTGGGTCCGAGGGAGGAGGGTCTAAGGTGTGGACTCCTGAGTGCAAGGAAGGAGGGACTGGGGGTCTGAACTCCTGGGTCTGAGGGAGGAGGGACTGCGGGGGGGCGTCTGGACTCCTGGGTCTGAGGGAGGAGGGGCTGGGGCCTGGATTCCTGGGTCTGAGGGAGGAGGGGTTGGGGGTCTGAATTCTTGGGTCCAAGGGAGGAGGGTCTAGGGTCTGGACTCCTGAGTGCAAGGAAGGAGGGACTGGGGGTCTGAACTCCTAGGTCTGAGGGAGGAGGTACTAGGGTCGGGACTCCTGGGTCTGGAGGAGGAGGGACAAGGGGTCTGGACTCCTGGGTCTGAGGGAGGAGGGGCTGGGGCCTGGATTCCTGGGTCTGAGGGAGGAGGGGCTGGGGCCTGAACTCCTGTTGGTCAGGTGGGGACCAGGCCTGGGGACTGCTCTTTCCCTGGGCCCGCTGCCCCCTGCTGCCCCCTGCTGGTCACTGCACTCTTCCTTTGCACCCTGGAGGACAGACAAGGCTTGGCAGTTTATTTCGATTTCACAACCCCCTTCCAGCCCTTGGGGTGCCCTTTAGCAGCACATCTCGGTGCCCTGCAGGTGGAGAGAGGGGTGGGTTAGATGAGGTCACCTCCAGGTGGAGAAGGGTGGAGTGGGCCAGGGAGGGTTAGGGAGTGGACTCACCTGGCCTTCAGGCCGGGGCAGGGTCCTGGGGTCCCAGGGCAGCTGGAGGGGAGCTCCCCTTTAGGAGTCTCTGCAATGGAGAGATTTTGAGAGGGTGGTTGATTCCCGGCATTCAACCTTTCCCTCTGCTCCTCTTCCCTGTCCCCTTTGTCTTAGACCTGGGAGTCCCAGACCACCCTCCAGTCCCTTCCACTTACTCCATGGCCCCCTCCCTGGCCTGGGGGCTGGAGGTGGCTTCCTGCCCGGTTGAAGCCACAGCCTTAATTCTTGGCAAGAGAAGAGGGGCCTGAAGTCTGGGGAGGGCCAGAAGTGCCTGGGAGGGGAGATTAAGAAATGCCTCTGCTAGGCTGCAGCTTGGGTGGACGTCCTTCCACAGGCCCTGGACACAGTGGTGACACAGGGTGGCGGCCACCGTCTGACAGGACCTTTGGCCTTGTCCCTAGTCCACGCTGCCTTTTCCCTCTCACCTCTAACTCGTGTAGGAAGAAGTTTTAGTTTGTCTGTCCGCCTGTCCATCCATGTGTCCATCCCTTCTGCTCACTCATGCGCCCCACAGACAGTTCCCGAGCCTCTCCAGTGGGTCAGTCCCTTTCTTTCTTTTCTTTTTTCTTTTCTTTCTTTCTCTCTCCTTCATTCCTTCCTTCCTGCCTTCCCTCCATTTCTTTCCTTTCTCCTTCTCTCCCTCCCTCTCTCTCTCCCTTTCTTTCTCTCTCTCCCTTTCTTTCCCTTTCTTTTCTTTCTTTCTTTCTTTCTCTTTCTTTCTTTTCTCTTTCTTTCTTTCTCTTTCTTTTCTTTCTCTTTTCTTTCTCTCTCTCTCTCTCTTTCCTTTTCTTTAAAAAAAAAAGAAAAAGAAAAAAACAAAACAACAGAGGCCAGGCGTGGTGGCTCACACTTGTAATCCCAGCACTTTGGGAGGTTGAGGTGGGTGGATCATGTGAGGTCAGGAGTTTGAGACCAGGCTGGCCAACATGGTGAAACCCTGTCTCTATGAAAAATACAAAATTAGCCAATCGTGGTGACATATTCCTGTAATTCCAGCTACTTGGGAGGCTGAGGCAGGAGAATCGTTTGAACCCAGGAGGTGGGGATTGCCATAAGTCAAGATTGCACCACTGCACTCCAGCCTGGGCAACAAGAGTGAAACTCTGTCTCAAAGCAAAACAAAGCAATACAGGGTCTCACTCTGTTGCCTAGTCTGGAGTGCAGTGATATGACCATAGCTCACTGCAGCCTTGACCTCCTGGGCTCAAACCATCCTCCTGCCTCAGCCTCCCAAAGTGCTGGGATTACAGGCATGACCCACTGCGCCAGGCCAAGGCCTTGTTTTTCGCTCTGAGAAGACAGCCGTGAACAAGACAGAAAACAATCTCTGTCCTGGTGGAGCTGATGCTCTACTGAGCCCGAGGCTTGCAGTGACTGATCAGCTCCTGAAAAAGGAAATGTCTCAGAGCATGTTCCGTCTCCTTCAAAGTGCCTGGGAGAGAGAAGATGCCGGGGAGGCCTCTTGGAGATGGGAATGACCCAGCTGATGCCTGAGTGCTGGAAGGATCCAGACAGAGGCTTCAAGTGGGTGGGGGCTTGCTGGCAAGTTAGAAGAGCAGCAAGGGTCCAATGTCGCTGGAAAGGAGGTGGAGTGGGGGAGATCAGAGAGGTGGGGAAGGGTTAGATCCCCAGCCCCAGGTCTTTGGGCAGTGGAAAGGACTTTGGCTTGAGTTCTTGGAACCCTGAGAAGCCAGTGGGGGATTTCTTTCTTTCTTACTTTTTTTTTTTTTTAGATGGAGTCTCGATCTGTTGCCCAGGCTGGAGGGCAGTGGCCGGATCTCAGCTCACTGCAAGCTCCGCCTCCCAGGTTCACACCATTCTCCTGCTTCAGCCTCCCGAGTAGCTGGGACTACAGGCGCCCTTCACCACACCCAGCTAATTTTTTGGATTTTTACATACACAAAATGTATTTTTACATCCTGTTAGCCAGGATGGTCTCGATCTCCTGACCTCCTGACCTCATGATCCGCCCGCCTCGGCCTCCCAAAGTGCTGGGATTACAGGCGTCAGCCACCGTGCCCGGCCTTTTTTTTTTTTTTTTGAGACGGAAGTTTTTGCTCTGTCACCCAGGCTTGAGTGCAGTGGCACGATCTCGGCTCACTGCAACTTCCGCCTCCTGAGTTCAAGCAATTCTCCCACCTCAGCCTCCCGAGTAGGTGGGATTACGGGTGCCTGCCACCATGCCTGGCTAATTTTTGTATTTTTTAGTAGAGACAGGGTTTCACCATGTTGGCCAGGCTGGTGGTCCTGAATTCCTGACCTCAAGCGATTTGCCCACCTCGGCCTCCCAAAGTGCTGAGATTACAGGTGTGAGCCACCATGCCCGGCCGCCAGTGGAGATTTCTGAGAGGTGAGGGAGAGGATATGACTCAGGTTACAGGTGACTGAGCTTACTGACTTCATCAAAACTCATGGGGAGGCTAGACGAAGTGGCTAATCCCAGTAATCCCAGCATTTTGGGAGGCCGAGACAGGAGGATCACTTGAGCCCAGGAGTTAGAGACCAACTTGGGCAACACGGTGAGACTGTGTCTCTAATTAAATTAAAAAATTAAAACAAAACAAAACAAAACAAAAAAACCCAGCCTGAGGGGCTTGTGTCAGGCTGCTCCCCATTTTCCTCAAGAAAACACCGAGGGTCAGAGAAGTCCCCAGTGTTCAGTGGGGCGATGAGATCCAGCTCAATGGCAGTGTCGTCCCCTAAAGGTAGGTTTCTCAGATGGAGAACAGCAGTGTGCAGAGAGCAACCCCAGGGGCCACAGCACCATACACAGATCACAATCACAGTGACACTGACCACTGACACAGTCCCAAGTCCCATCACATCCAGTGTCCACAGCAGCCCCACCCTCACCTCTGCAAAAAAATTTTAAAATGAACCAGGTGTGGAGACATGCACCTGTAGTCCCAGCTACTCTGGGAGCTAAGGAGGGAGGATCACTTGAGCCCAGGAGATTGAGGCTATAGTGAGCTGTGATTGCACCACTGCACTCCAGCCTGGGTAACAGAGACCCCATTTTTTTTTCTTTTCTTTTTTTTTTTTTTTGAGACAGAGTCTCACTCTGTCACCCAGGCTGGAGTGCAATGGCACTATCTCGGCTCACTGCAACCTCTGCCTCCTGGGTTCAAGCGACTTTCCTGCCTCAGCCTCCTGATTAGCTGGGATTACAGGTGCCTGCCACCATGCCTGGCTAGACAAAGGCCCCATCTTAAAAAAAAAAAAAAAAAAAAAGCAATGCCAGGCACATAGCAAAAATTATGACAGGCGGGGCCCACGCCTGTAATCCCAGCACTTTAGAAGGCCGAGGCGGGCAGACAACCGGAGATAAAGAGTTCAAGACCAGCCTGGCCAACATGATGAAACCCCATCTCTACTAAAAATACAACAATTAGCAGGGCATGGTGGTGTGCACCTGTAACCCCAGCTACTCGGGAGGCTGGGCCAGGAGAATCGCTTGAACCTGGGAGGCGGAGGTTGCAATGAGCCAAGATTGTGCCACTGCACGCCAGCCTGGGCAACAGAGCTCAAAAAAAAAAAAAAAAAAAAAAAGTTACGACAGTTGGCTTGCTGAGAAATAGCAAACCCAAGGCCGTCTCTTCCATGGTATGTTTTGAAGAATGAAAGAGTAGGTGGGAGTGGACTGGAATTTTAATCAGGCAGGGTTTGGGGAGAGGAGGAAAGGGCGGGCAAGGCGGAGGGTACGGCCGAGGCAAAGGTGTCATCATCAGGCCCGAGGTCCCTGTCAGCCTGCCATCCTGGCTGTGTCCCCCATCACTGTCCTCAGGGAGCCGGCTGAGTGCCTCCTAATGTTTCCATTTGCTTTTGGCGGCAGGTTGGATCTGTTTTTAGCTTCCCTGGCTGGTTTCACCGCCACCCCCCGCTTCCTGCTGGCTCTCTTGTTTGCTGTGGTTGAATAATGTTCCCGGACTTCCTGAGCTGTTTGTTTGAAGACAGCTCAGTATTGATCGAAGCCTGTGTGTACTCAGCCAGAGATGCTAACAGATCTGCTTCTCCCAGCAATCCAGGGTCCCAAAAACCCTGGGGTGGTGGCATGGGGAGAAAAGAAAGCCAGGACAGGGCTCATTAAAAAATAAGTAGGCCGGGCGTGTTGGCTCACGCCTGTGATCCCAGCACTGTGGGGAGCCGAGGCTGGTGGATCACCTGAGGTTGGGAGTTCGAGACCAGCCTGACCAACATGGAGAAACCCCATCTCTACTAAAAAATACAAAATTTGCCAGGTGTGGTGGCACATGCCTGTAATCCCAGCTACTCAGGAGGCTGAGGCAGGAGAATTCGCTTGAACCCCAGAGGCAGAGGTTGCAGTGAGCCGAGATCATACTATTTCACTCCAGCCTGGGCAACAAGAGTGAAACTCCATCTCAAAAGAAAAACAAACAAAGAAAACAACAACAATAAAAAAGTAGATGGTTTGGGGGCCTTAAAGACTCCAACACTGGCTTCTCCTCTTTCAGGCTGTGTGGTTTTGGGCAGGTACTGTCACCTTTCTGAACTTTTTGCCTCCAGAAAATGGGGAGAAGAACATTTGTTTGTTTGTTTTTTTGAGACAGGGTCTCACTCTGTCATCCAGGCTGGAGTGCAGTGGCACGATCTTGGCTCACTGCACCCTCTAGCTCCCGGGTTCAAGCGATTCTCCTACCACAGTCTTCCAAGTAGCTGGGATTACAGGCGTGCACCACCACGCCCAGCTAATTTTTGTATTTTTAGTAGAGACGGGGTTTCACCATGTTGGTCAGGCTGGTCTCGAACTCCTGAACTCAGTGATCCACCTGCCTCAGCCTCCCAAAGTGCTGGGATTACAGGTGTGAGCCACCACACCTGGCCGGGAGAGGAACATTTTTGACTTCATAGTGCTGTTGGGAAGACTCACTTCAGTGTATTCATTTGGTATCTATTTATTGAGCACCTATGATGTGTGTGTGTGTGCTAGGCACTGTTCTGGACTCTGGAGATATGATGGAGAAGACAACAAAGGCCTGACCTGCAGGAAGGTTGCAACCTGACAGTGCTAAAAGCCAACAAAACCAACCCTAAGCTCTACCGGGTGGCGAAAGATCTTTGAACATACAGCAGACCAGGGGCCGGGGGGACAGCGGTGCTATTTTCACCCTTTCCTTTTTTTTTCTTTTTAGAGAACGGGGTCCCGCTATATTGCCCAGAAAGGTCTCGAAATCCTGGGCTCAGGCTTTCCTCCTGCCTCTGCCTCCCTAAGGGCTGGGATTACAGACTCTTTTTTTTCTTTACTGGTTTAGAGACAAGGTCTCATTCTGTTGCCCAGGCTGGAGTGCAGTGGTGTGATCATGCCTCACTGGAGCTACCAACTCCTGGGATCAAGGGACCCTCCCACCTCAGCCTCCCGAGCAGCCGGGACTACGGGCGTGCGCCACCACTTTGGGCTAATTTTTAAATTTTTTTGTAGTGTTGGGGTCTTACAGTGTTGCCCAGGCTGGTTTCAAACGCCTGGGCTCAAACCATCCTCCTGCCTTGGACTCCCAAAGTGTTGGGATTGCAGGCCGGGCATGGTGGCTCATGCCTGTAATCCCAGCACTTTGGGAGGCCAAGGTAGGTGGATCAACTGAGGGCAGGAGTTCAAGACCAGCCTGGCCAACATGGCAAAACCTTGTCTCTACCAAAAATCCAAAAATTATCCGGGCATGGTGGCACGTGCCTGTACTCCCAGCTACTTAAGAGGCTGAGGCAGGAGCATTGCTTGAACCTGGGAGGCAGAGGTTGCAGTGAGCTGAGATTATTCCACTGTACTGCAGCCTGGGCTACAGGGGCGAGACTCTTGCTCAAAAAAAAAAAGAAGTATTGGGATTGCAGGCATGAGCCACCACCCCAGCTAGAGGTACTATCTTGAACAGAGTGGTCAGGGAAGGCCTCCCTGAGAAGGGATGGGAAGGCGAGCCTCAGGAAAGGCGGTGCAGGCCAAGGGAACAGCTTGTGAAAAGGCCCTGAGGTAGGACACATCTGGGATGCTGGAAGGAGAGCAGGAAAGTCCTTGAGGCCGGGCACAGTGGCTTACTCCTGTAATCCCAGCACTTTGGGAGGCCGAAGGGGACAGATCACGAGGTCAGGAGTTCGAGACCAGCCTGACCAACATGGTGAAATTCTGTCTTTACTAAAAATACAAAAATTAGTGGGGCATGGTGGCGGGCGCCTGTAATACCAGCTACTCAGGAGACTGAGGCAGAAGAATTGCTTGAACCCGGGAGGCGGAGGTTGCAGTGAGCCAAGATTGCACCACTGCACTCCAGCCTGGGCGACAGAGCAAGATTCTGTCTCAAAAAAAAAAAAAAGAAAGAAAGTCCTTGAGGGGGAATGAGCCAGGAAGAAAACAAGGGATGAGGTCACAGCGGGGATGGGTACCTTGGAAATGGGTGCCAAGGATGAGTCCCTTCCCTGGCACCCCTGAGTGCGCAGGTGAACCAGGGACCCTGGAGGTGAATGAGACCCCGGCCCCCAACCTCAGACCAGTGCCTGACTCACCACCTTTGGCTGGGCATTTCTGGGTTTCCTGGGGGGCAGATCTGGCCGTGGGGGCAACTGAGGAGCCAAAACGGGCGCCTAGAGGGGACAGAGGAAGGAGAGTGGACTTGTGAGCTGCCATTTTCTTCTCACTTCCATGTTCTCCTGCCTGAGCCCCAGCATTCAGGCACTGTTCTAGACTCAGGATATAACGGAGACCAAGACCATGTACCAACACTTAGGAGGGTTACAGTCAAGGAAAGCCACAGCCCCAGCCCTTGGGGAAGCAAAAGACCAGTTCCCTAGGACCTGAGAATCTTGTTATCAGCACCCTGCTCTTCTAGAACCCAGGAGTGCCGTCCCTGAGCTCTTCCTCCCTCAGACCCAGGAGTGCAGGACCCGCAGTCCTCCTCCATTAGACTCAGGAGTACAGGCTCCAACCCCTCCTCCCTCAGACCCCGGAGTCCAGTCCCCCAGTCTCTCCTCCCTCAGACCCCGGAGTCCAGTCCCCCAGTCTCTCCTCCCTCAGACCCCGGAGTCCAGTCCCCCAGTCTCTCCTCCCTCAGACCCAGGAGTCCAGACCCCCAGTCTCTCCTCCCTCAGACCCAGGAGTCCAGACCCCCAGTCTCTCCTCCCTCAGACCCAGGAGTCCAGACCCCAGCCCTTCCTCCCTCAGACCCAGGAGTCCAGGCCCAGCCCTTCCTCCCTCAGACCCAGGAGTCCAGGACCCCCAGCCCTCCTCCCTTAGACTCAGGAGTACAGGCTCCAAACCCTCCTCCCTTAGACCCAGGAGTCCAGGCCCCCAGTCTCTCCTCCCTCACACCCAGGAGTCCAGGACCCAGCCCCTCCTCCCTCAGACCCCCAGCCCCTCCTCTCTCAGACCCAGGAGTCCAGGACCCAGCCTTCCTCCCTCAGGCCTAGGAGTCCAGACCCAGCCCTTCCGCCCTCAGACCCAGGAGTCCAGACCCTGCCCTTCCTTCCTCAGACCCAGGAGTTCAGACCCCGCCCTTCCTCCCTCAGACCCAGGAGTCCAGGCTCCAGCCCTTCCACCCTCAGACCCAGGAGTCCAGACCCTGCACTTCCACCCTCAGACCCAGGAGTCCAGGCCCCTAGCCCCTCCTCCCTCAGACTCAGGAGTCCGGACCCTGCCCTTCCTCCCTCAGACCCAGGAGTCCAGACCCTGCCCTTCCTCCCTCAAACCCAGGAGTCCAGGCTCCAGTCCCTCCTCCCTCAGACCCAGGAGTCCAGGCTCCAGTCCCTCCTCCCTCAGGCCTCAAGAATGTGGATTCCAGCTCCCGGCTGGCCCCGCTCACCTGCTCCAGCTCCAACTCTCTGCCTTCCTGGTCACTGCCGTCCTCTGAGTCCTCAGCAGTAGCCTGACCATGGAACTCGTAGATACTCACGGCCTCCCAGCCCTTGATCTTGCAGCGGCAGAAGGGGCAGGTCTGGCTGTCCGAGTGCTGGGGGAGGTCGGGAGGGAAAGGGTCAGTGCCCCCCTGCTCTCCATCCTGTCCCTTGGGCCAGCGAGGAGTTCCCTGCCCAAAAGATTGATGTGGGGAAGACAGAGGAAGGGAGACAGAAGGAGAGAAGAGGAGTCGTGGAGAGCAGGGGAATGTGGAGGGAAACGCTGGGAGGGAAGGTGAGAGAGGAACGGAACCAGAGTCAAGGTCAGGAGGGGGCACACAGGCCAGGGATCCCCATGGAGCCTTGGCTGCAGCTTCTGGGCCAGGCCTTTCCAGGCTCAGATCCTCACTGTGGCCCTTTTTTTTTTTTTTTTTTTTTTTTTTTAAAGGAGTCTAGCTCTGTCACCTAGGCAGGAGTGCAGTGGTGCGATCTCTGCTCCCTGCAACATCTGTCTCCCGGGTTCAAGCGATTCTCATGTCTAGCCTCCTGAGCAGCTGGGATTATAGGCACCCACCACCACACCCATCTAATTTTTGCATTTTTTTTTTTTTTAGTAGACACGGGGTTTCACCATGTTGACCAGGCTGGTCTCAAACTCCTGACCTCAAGTGATCCACCCACCCCAGCCTCCCAAAGTGCTGGGATTACAGACGTGAGCCACTGTGCCCAGCCTCATTGTGGCCCTTGGGAAGTCACTTTTCTCAGCCCTGTCCTCCAGGGGACGAGGCTAAGGCTCAGAGAGGTGAAGCCACTAGCGGGGCATCACCCAGGCAGGGAAGGAAGGAGAGCTTTCCACCGATAACATTGCCGGAGAGGGAGAAACTGAGGCAGCATGTGCAGAGTGGGGTGGAACCAGAGGCCCGGGGAAAGACAGCCGGCCTCCTGAGTGGTCGCCAGCAGCTCTCTGCCCTCTCTGGACTTCGGTTTCCCCATATGATCAATGAGGCATAGAGGAGATCCTCTTGGGGCTTTCCCTGTAGAGAGAGGGAGACCAGCCAGGAAGGCGGCACAGGGGTCAGACCCACCTGCCAGGCAGCCAGGCAGCGGCTGCAGAGCAGGTGCCCGCACGGCTCGATCTTCACATCCTTGTTGCTCTCAGCACAGATCTTGCAGAGCTCAAATGTGGAGTCCATGGCCCAGTAGAGCTGCAGCTGCTCCTGGCAGGTGAGAGGATAGAGAAGACAGTGAGGGGCATGCGTCAGCCATGAGGACACCCCTTGGGCCACAGGAAGAAAATCCCAAACCTCAGCTGGTTGTGGTGGCTAACGCCTGTAATCCCAGCACTTTGGAGGCCGAGGCGGGGGGATCACCTGAGGTCAGGAGTTCGAGACCAATCTCGTCAACTATGTTGAAACCCTGTCTCTACTAAAAATACAAAAATTAGCCGGGGCATGGTGGCGCATGCCTGTAGTCCCAGCTACTCGGGAGGCTGAGGCAGGAGAATCGCTTGAACTTGGGAGATGGAAGTTGCAGTGAGCTGAGATTGCGCCATTGCACTCCAGCCTGGGCAACAAGAGCAAAACTCTCTCAAAAAAAGAAAGAAAGAAATAAAGAAAATCCCAAACCTCTGTCTTGGCGCTGTGGCTCATGTCTGTAATCTCAGCATTTCTGGCGGCCAAGCCCAGGAGTTCTGGACCAGCCTGGGAAGCATAGCATGACCCTGTTTCTATGTAAAAAAATATAAACCAAACTTCTGTGCCAGACCTGAACCCTCTCCTAAGTCCAAGGTTGGCATGTCCAACGGCCTCCTACATGTCTTCACTCATTTTTTGTGTGTGTTTTTAAAATTTATTTATTTATTTTTATTTTTATTTTATTTTTTTGAGATGGAGTCTTGCTCTGTTGCCCAGGCTGGAGTGCAGTGGCGTGATCTTGGCTCACTGCAACCTTTGCCTCCAGGTTCAAGCGATTCTTGTGCCTCAGCCTCCTGAGTAGCTGGGACTACAGGCATGAGCCACCATACGTGGCTAATTTTTGTATTTTTAGTAGAGATGGGGTTTCACCATGTTGGCTAGGCTAGTCTCGAACTCCTGACCTCAAGTGATCTGCTTGCCTTGGCCTCCCAAAGTGTTGGAATTACAGGTGGGAGCCACCTTGCCCGGCCATATCTTCACTCCTTGTTATGAGATTTCTTCTCCCCAGTTGTCTACACCCAGTGGTGCCAGATTTAGCAAATAAAAGTACTGGATGCTGCTAAATTTGAATTTCATTCTTTTTTTTCTTTTCTTTTTTTTTTGGCGAGACGGGGCACCACTCTGTTACCCAGGTTGAAGTGCAGGGTCGCGATCTTGGCCTACTGCAACCTCCAACTCCCAGGCTCAAGTGATCCTCCCACCTCAGCCTCCAAAGTAGGTGGGCTAAGTTTTTGCATTTTTTGTAGAGATGGGGTTTCGTCATGTTGCCCAGGTTCATCTTGAACTCCTGAGCTCAAGTGATCCACCAGCCTCAGCCTCCCAAAATACTGGGATTACAGGCATGAACCACCGCACCTAACCTAAATTTGAATTTCTTTTTTTTTTCTTGAGACCAAGCCTCACTCTGTTGCCCAGGCTGGAGTGCAGTGGTGTGATCTCGGCTCACTGCAACCTCCGCCTCCTGGGTTCAAGTGATTCTTGTGCTTCAGCCTCCCAACTCAAGTGCCTCAGCTGGGACTACAGGTGTGAGCCACCACACCCAGCTAATTTTTGTATTTTTGGTAGAGATGGGTTTCACTATGTTGGCCAGGCTGGTCTTGAACTCCTGACCTCAGGTGATCTGCCCGCCTCAGCCTACCAAAGTGCTGGGATTACGGGCGCGGTGGCACCTGGCCTCTAAATTTGAATTTCATGTAAACAGTGAATACAGTTTGAAGTATAAAGATGTCCCAAATATTGCAAGGGATATATTTATAGTAAAAAAATGTAGGGCCAGGTACAGTGGCTCATGCCTATAATCCCAGCACTTTGGGAGGTGGAGGTGGGAGGATCGTTGGAGCCCAGGAGTTCAAAACCAGCTTGGGCAACATGGCGAAACCCCATCTCTACAGAGAAATAAAAAAATTAGCTGGGTGCAGTGGCTCACACCTGTACTCCCGGTTGCTCGGGAGGCTGAGGTGGGAGGATCGCTTGAGCCAGGAGGTCGAAGCTGCAGTGAGCCATGATCGCACCACTGCACTCCAGCCTGGGTGACAGAAGAGATCCTGTCTCTAAAAATAAAAATAAATAAAATATAAATTATGTATTTATTATTGTTGTTTTTCTCTCACTCGGGGGGTGGCTGTGAAGATTAGGAGCTGGCACAGGGCCATCGCTGGCAAATGCCCAAATGCATTAGCTGTCCTGATGATCTCAGCAGCATCAGTTCCTTATATAATCCCCGTGATCACCCCTGGGAAAGAGGCAGGAGGAGCCGTATTCTCTGGAAGAATAACTGAGCCTCAGAGAGGTCAAGTGATTTACCCAAGGTCACGCAGCCACCAAGCCAACACTCCAACCCCAGGCCTCTGAGCCAAGGCAACGTGGGGGTGGCAGGGTCAGGGAACAGGACTGCGGGTGCAGGCACGGGTCTCACCTCTGATACGTGGATGCGCTGCTGGGCTTCTGCCTGGTCGAGCTCAGTCAGGTCTGGGTTGTGGTTCTTTCCATCTGGGTAGAGGTAGCTGGGGGAAGGGAAGAGAGGGGGATGGGGGGGCCATCTAGTATCTCCCACCCCCAGATGAATAAGGACCTTTATCCCCTACAGGGCCCATATCTCCCTGAGATGAGGATCTGTCCCCAATCCATTGCTGGCCTGGGGTTATTTTCCCTCTGCCCTCCTCTAATTGGGACTGCATCTTCTCAGATACCCCAGGGCAGGGCTATTTCCCCTCAGACTCCCAAGGTAGGGCACACGAAACCTCAGTGACTCAAGCTCCAGAAACAAGGATGAAATAGAATAAGAACCAGAAAACGGGATGAAAATTTCTGGCTTAGGGCGGGCACGGTGGCTCACGCCTGTAATCCCAACACTTTGGGAGGCCGAGGTGGGTGGATCACCTGAGGTCGGGAGTTCAAGACCAGCTTGGCCAACGTGATGGAACCCCGTCTCTACTGAAAATATAAAAATTAGCCGGGCGTGGTGGTGCATGCCTGTAATCCTAGCTACTCAGAGGCTGAGTCAAGAGAATTGCTAGAACCCAGGAGGCACACGTTGCAGTGAGCCGAGATCGTGCCATTGCACTGCAGCTTGGGCGACAGAGTGAGACTCTGTTTCAAAAAAAAAAAAAAAAAAGAAAAAAGAAAAATCTCTGGCTTAGCTCTTCTAGAACCTCATCCTTCTCCTCCATGCCCAAGTGTAACAGATTTTAGCGTCACAGATCATGAAAGTGACCAAATCCTAGAATCTGAGAATATCAGGATGGGAAAGATCCTCTGAGAACACCTGTACCACTGCTTCCCTCACAGACAGTGACCCAAGGCTCAGGGTGGGAAAGGCACCTACCCAAGGTCACACAGCAAGGACCAGAGAGACTCAGAACCAGGGTCGTAGGCGAGATCTCAGCACTGGGCTCCAGGACACCGGAGAAGCAAGCTCTGGACTCCCTGGGTCTCCCACTGCATCATTTCCTCAGCCTATCTGGCATGCCTCAACACTACTCCAATTATTCCCACATGTATACCACATGAAATACTGAACCCTCAGACCCACAGCGGGTCATGAGTCCTTGAGGCTAGTGGCCCTGCCTGGCCTGTCATGTGGAGCAGTGCAGGATCCCTGACCTGGGCCCCACAGTGGCTGTCCCACTAACACACTGTATGACCTGGCTGGGGCCACTCTACTTTTCTGGCCTCAGTTTCCTCTTCTGTAACATGGACGTGATCATGCCTGAGGCAAAGATTTGTGATGCGTATTAAATAAGACAGTGCTGGTAGGGCGCAGTGGCTCACACCTGTAATCCCAGCACTTTGGGAGGCTGAGGCAGGCGGATCATTTGAGGCCAGGAGTTTGAGACCAGCCTGGTCAACATGGTGAAACCCCGTTTCTACTAAAAATAGCAAAATAAATAAATAAACAAATAAAATAATAATTAGCCAGGCATGGAGGTGCGTGTCTGTAATCACAGCTACTCGGGAGGCTGAGGCAGGAGAATTTCATGAACCCAGGAGGCAGAGATTGTAGTGAATGAATACCACACCACTGCACTCTAGCCTGGGGCAACACAGCAAGACTCTGTCTCAAAAAAAACTTTAAAAAAAAATAAATAAATAAAAAAGAAAGACAGTGCTTATAAAACATGCAGCCCTGGCTGGGAGCAGTGGCTCATGCCTGAATCCCAGCACTTTGAGAGGCTGAGGCAGGAGGATTGCTTGAGCCCGGGGGTTCGAGACCAGCCTAGGCAACACAGAAAGACTCTATGTCTAAAAAAAAAAAAAAATTAAAAATATTAGCTGGGCATGGGTGGCATGTGCCTGTGGTCTCAGCTACTCAGGAGAGGCTGAAGTGGGAGGACCACCTGAGCCTGGGAGGTCGAGGCTGCAGCAGTGAGCTGTGGTCATGTCACTGCACTCCAGCCTGGGTGACAGTGAGAACCCGTCACAAAAAAAAGAAACACCAAACAAAACATGCAGCACTGGCCAGGTGCAGTGGTTTACACCTGTAACCCCAGCACTTTAGGAGGCCGAGGAGGGAGGGTCACTTGAGCCCAGCAGTTTGAGACCAGCCTGGACACCATAGTGATATCTTGTCTCTATCTAATTTTTTTTCTTTTTTTCTTTTTATTCACAAGGGGGCTCACTATGTTGTCCAGGTTGGTCTCAAACTCTTGGACTCCAGTGATCCTCCTACCTCAGCCTCCCAAAGTTCTAGGATTTCAGGCATGAGCCACCATGCCTGGAGAAAATTTTTTTTTTTTTTTTTTTTGAGATGAAGTCTCACTCTTGTCCCCCAGGCTGGAGTGCAATGGCTCGATCTCAGCTCACTGCAACCTCCACCTCCCAGGTTCAAGCGATTCTCTTGCCTCAGCCTCCCAAGTAGCTGGAATTACAGGCACCTGTCACCACGCCTGGCTACTTTTTGTATTTTTAGTAGAGACAGGGTTTCACCATGTTGGCCAGGCTGGTCTTGAACTCCTGACCTCAGGTGATCCGCCTGCCTCAGCCTCCCCAAAGTGCCAGGATTATAGGCGTGAGTCACTGAGCCCAGCGTGAATAAATTTTTTAAATTAAATATATATATATATATATATATATATGCAGCATTCTCCTCTGTGCAAAAACACTCAATAAGAAGGGACTTCTATGATTGACTTTATTTTTATGTTTTTGAGATGGAATCTCTGTCACCCAAGCTGGAATGCAGAGGCACGATCTCGGCTCTCTGCAGCCTCAGCCTCCCGGGTTCAAGCGATTCTGCTGTCTCAGCCTCCCGAGTAGCTGGGATTGTAAGCGCACAGCACCACACCTGGCTAGAGACGGAGTTTTTTTTTTTTTTTTTTTTTTTTGTAGAGATGGGGTTTCGCCATGTTGGCCAGGCTGGTCTTGAACTCCTGACCTCAAGTGATCTGCCTGCCTCTGTCTCCCAAAGTGCTGGGATTACAGGCGTGAGCCACCGTGCCCGGCCTCTGATTTTTCTGCTTTAAATGGTCCCCAAGAGTAGCTGAAGTGTTGTCTCTTGTTCCTAAGTGAAAGAAGGTTGTGATGTGTCTTATGGAGAAAACGTGTGTGTTGTATAAGCTTCCTTGAGACACAAGTCATAGTGCTGTTGGTTGTAAGTTCAATGTTAATGAACCAATGATAGGTACTGAATAAAGTGTCCTTTTTTTTTTTTTTTGAGACGGAATCTCACTCTGTTGCCCAGGCTGGAGTGCAGTGGTGTGATCTCAGCTCACTGCAACCTCTGCCTCCCAGGTTCATGCCATTCTTCTGCCTCAGCCTCCTGAGTAGCTGGGACTACAGGTGCCCACCACCACGCCCAGCTAATTTTTTTTTTTTTTTTTGTATTTTTAGTAGAGACTGGGTTTCACCATGTTAGGCAGGATGGTCTCGATCTCCTGACCTCATGATCTGCCCGCCTCGGCCTCCCAAAGTGTTGGGATTACAGGCGTGAGCCACCGCGCCGGGCCTTGAATAAAGTGTCTTTAAACAAAAACATACATAAAGTTTACTATGTTGTGATTGATTGACAAAAATGTGGGGACCCAGCCGGGCGTGGTGGCGTGCACCTGTAGTCCTAGTTACTCAGGACTGTATTTCCCCTGGGAGCAACGGGTTGTTATTCAATAATTCAGGGTGTGTGGTGATTTTATAGAAGATAATTACTGCAAATTGGCCAGGCGTGTGGCTCACACCTGTAATCTGAGCACTGTGGGAGGCTGAGGTGGGCAGATTGCTTGAGTTCAGGAGTTCGAGACCAGCCTAGGCAACATGGTGAGATTTCCCCCCCCCTTCTCTACCAAAAATACAATAAAAATGTTTTGTTTGTTTGTTTGTTTTGTTTTTTCAGATGGAGTCTCGCTCTGTCACCCAGGCTGGAGTGCAGCGGCGTGATCTCAGCTCACTGAAACCTCCACCTGCCAACCTGCCAGGTTCAAGCAATTCTATCTCAGCCTCCAGAGTAGTTAGGATTACAGGTGCCCGCCACAGCGCCCAGCTAATTTTTAAAAAAATTTTTAGTAGAGATGGGGTTTTGCCATGTTGACCAGGCTGGTCTGAGGTGATCACCTGGTCACCTTAGGTGATCCGCCCACCTTGGCCTCCCAAAGTGCTGGGATTACAGGTGTGAACCACCGTGCCCCCACCAAAAATGTTAGAAAAAATTATATATTAAAAAATTAATAATTACTGCAAATAATCAACAGCATATCTATCTAGCTAGCTAGCTAGCTAGCTACCTTCCTATCTCCTCTCTTGTATGTCAGTAGCCATATAGATATGACTGATAAGAAATTTCTGGCCAAAGGTGAAACTCTGAAAAGAAACCTGCCTTCTTGGCCGGGCATGGTGGCTCACACTTGTAATCTCAGCACTTTGGCAGTCCGAGGAGGGAGGATCACTGGAGGTCAGGAGTTTGAGACCAGCCTGGCCAACATGGCGAAACTCCATCTCCACTAAATATCCAAAAATTAGGGCCAGGCGTGGTGGCTCATGCCTGTAATCTCAGCACTTTGGGGGGCCGAGGTGGGTAGATCACGAGGTCAGGAGTTCGAGACCAGCCTGACCAACATGGTGGAACCCTGTCTCTACTGAAAATACAAAACAAAACAAACAAACAAAAAAACTAGCCAGGCGTGGTGGTGCGTGCCTGTAATTCCAGTTACTCAGGAGGCTGAGGCAGGAGAATTGCTTGAACCCGGGAGGTGGAGGTTGCAGTGAGCCGAGATCACGCCATTGCACTCCAGCCCAGGTGACAGAGCGAGACTCCATCTCAAAAAAAAAAAAAAAAAAGAAAACCACCAGTCTAGCAAGTTCTCCAGTTCTGTTTCTGCACCATCAGTCTAGATTCTAGAGCAGGATCTGATATCTAGAAGCAAAAGCTGGCTGGGCACGGTGGCTCATACCTGTCATTTCAACACTTTGGGAGGCCGAGGCGGGCAGATCGCTTGAGCCCAGGAGTTCGAGACCAGCCTGGGCAACATGGCGAAACCCCATCTCATTTTTAAAAAATTAACTAAAATAAAAGAGAAAGAAAATAGAATCAAACGCTCTTGAGCTCCGTTCCAAGGAATGGAGCCCCTGCGGTTGTGGCCAACGCCCCACACACTTCTCAGAGCTGTGGCTGGGCCCTATTTATGGCCACTTTGTGCCAACCTCAGAGGCGCCCCTTCCTCAAGACCTTTGACTGCCACCTGCTGGAATCTTATAGTACTGCAAGATTTGAGATGTCCGCTATGTGAATGGTTGCAACCTCAAACGTGGTGGCTACTGGCAGTGCTCAACATGCAAGATCTTTCTAATCAGATTTTGCTGACACCCTCCTCCTACCAGAATAGAGACTCACAAGCCATCCTTCTGTCCCTCCAGGAGCACCTGGGACAGGGGTTTGTTGGCAGGGATGGTCTGCAGGATGCTGCCATCTGAGCTCACGTAGCCGATGGCCCACTGCCCCAGGCGAGTACAGCTGGGCCGGAAGATGTAGCTGGAGGGAGAGGTAGGTAGGATGGGGTGAGGGAGTGGTTACCGCAGTCCCTTTTGCGAACTCCTAGTCCCCCGCCCTGTTGGGAATCCAGGTGTCTAAGTCCTCACCCCCAGTTTCCCATTCTTTAGGCAACGGCATGTGCTAGATCCCTGCCTGCCTGTATAGGTGATATCTGCTGTTTTTGCCTGCTTGGCTCTTTTATGATAAAAACAGCCCTGTTTGTATTTGGAGATCTCTCCCTGCTTCACTGGAGTTTAAACAAGGCTGGGCTGACCAATCAGTGCATTTCAGGACCCCTGACTACAGTGATGGGAGTCTGTTCTGGGACTTGCTGGAAGTGTCAGAGCAAGGTGCCCCCTTTCTTACAGAGGTTGCTAAGAAGGTAGGGTACACAGCTGGGACTTCTAGAAGTCATTTGCCACCATGAGGAGAAACCATGTTTGAGAATGAAGCAAACAGAGGAAAGCAGAGAAAGGGGATGAACAGGAACTGATTCCTGACAGTAGCCATTGAGCACCTGGATCTAGCCATGCCTGAAACCCACACCCTGGCCTTCTTTTCTTTCCTTCCTTTTTTTTTTTTTTTTTTTTTTGAGACAGAATCTTGCTCTGTTGCCCAGGCTGGAGTGCAGTGGCAGGATCCTGGCTCACTGCAACCTCTGCCTTTCGAGTTCAAGTGATTCTTGTGCCTCAACCTCCCAAGTAAATGGGACTATAGGCACACATCACCATGCCACACTAATTTTTGTATTTTTTTTTTTTTTGAGACAGAGTCTTGTTCTGTTACCCAGGCTGGAGCGCAGTGGTGCAATCTTGGCTCACTGCAAGCTCTGCCTTCCGGGTTCATGCCATTCTCCTGCCTCAGCCTCCCGAGTAGCTGGGACTACAGGCACCCGCCACCACGCCTGGCTAATTCGTTTTGTTTTTTTAGTAGAGACAAGGTTTCACCCTGTTAGCCGGTATGGTCTTGATCTCCTGACCTCGTGATCTGCCTGCTTTGGCCTCCCAAAGTGCTGGAATTACAGACATGAGTCACCACGCCCGACAGTATTTTTTTTTTTTTTTGAGACAGACTCTCGCTCTTATTGCCCAGGCTGGAGTGCAACGGCATGATCTTGGCTCACTGTAACCTCTGCCTCCCGGGTTCAAGCAATTCTCCTGCCTCAGCCTCCTGAGTAGCTGGGATTACAGGTGCACGCCTGGCTAATTTTTTTTGTATTTTTAGTAGAGACGAGGTTTCGCCATGTTGGCCAGGCTGGTCTCAAACTCTTGACCTCAGGTGATCCACCCTCCTCGGCCTCCCAAAGTGCTGGGATTACAGGCGTGAGCCACCGTGACAGGCCTAATTTTTGTACTTTTAGTAGAGATGGGGTTTCTTTCTTTTTTTTTTTTTTTTTTTTTTTGAGACTGAGTCTGGCTCTGTCGCCCAGGCTGGAGTGCAGTGGCCGGATCTCAGCTCACTGCAAGCTCCGCCTCCCGGGTTTATGCCATTCTCCTGCCTCAGCCTCCGGAGTAGCTGGGACCACAGGCGCCCGCCACCTCGCCTGGCTAGTTTTTTGTATTTTTTAGTAGAGACGGGGTTTCACCGTGTTAGCCAGGATGGTCTCGATCTCCTGACCTTGTGATCCGCCCGTCTCAGCCTCCCAAAGTGCTGGGATTACAGGCTTGAGCCACCGTGCCCGGCTGAGATGGGGTTTCACCATGTTGGCCAGGCTGGTCTTGAACTCCTGACCTCAAGTGATTTGCCCGCCTCGGCATCCCAAAGTGCTGGGATTACAGGTGTGAGCCACTGTGCCAGGCCTGGCCTTTTCAATTATAGGAATTTATTATTTCCTTTTTCTTTTCCCTTAAATCAGTTTGAAGTGTAACTGGAAGAATGCTAATGCACTCACCTTCCTACTCCTGCACCTCAGCCCTGCAGAGACTCACAAACCTGACCCCCTATTCTCTTGGTATTCTAGACAGCTCAATTCTCAGCCCTCTGAGAATTGTCGGGGGCGGGGGGGGTACCCAAGAGCTCAAAACTCCTGGCTTGAAATAATTTAAGGACTCACACATCTTGTTTTTCAGTCTCCTATGCCAATAGGTGGGAAAGTCACCCTCCAAATATTGAACAGATGGTGCAACATGGCTCTGACCTACCAGAAATGGACGTTACCCTGAAGCAGGGTCTTTGGGCTCCTTGCGGGCACTATCCCTTAGCTGCAGGATTATGGGACAGTACAGGAGGTCTCCAGAGAAGAGACGGGCTGGGAGGGGCACTCAGTGTCCTGCCTCTGAGTTATCAACTCTCTGGGGTCCCGGGTACCTCTGTTCCCACTCTTGGAAGGACATCTGGGCTAGACCATGCACCAGCCCAGAGCCCAGATCCCTGAGCCCTGCAGCCTTGTTCCTCCAAGCCCTGGACCCTTTACCTTCCTGGCTTGTCCCTGCAGGCCTGCAGACGCTCTTGGACCTCATCATAGGTGAGGAAGGCCATGTAGCCTGGGTGGTTGACTGCCAGGAGCTGCCAATTCTTGAGGAGTGTTGGCCATGGCTGGGGTGGGGCAGAGTTTGGATCAGAGAGAGACCAGGAAAGCAGTCACATCCCTAAGTAGTCCCCAGGGGCCCGAGAATCCAGCCACCTCCTTCACACCCATGGTGAGCCTCAGGCACATCCCTTTTATAAGACCCCAAGCTCTTTTTTCTCCAGGACTCAAGAGTTTGGGACCCTAGCTTCCTCCTTCCTCAGACCCAAGAGTCCAGGCCTCCAGCCCCCTCCTCCCACAGACCCTGGAGTCCAGGCCCCAGCCCCTCCTCCCTCAGACCCTGGAGTCCAGGCCCCAGCCCCTCCTCCCTCAGACCCTGGAGTCCAGGCCCCCAGCCCCTCCTCCCTCAGACCCAGGAATTCAGGTTTCAGCCCTCTTCTTCCTCCTGGACCCAAGTCTAGCTCCCAGCCTTGGCCTTCCCTGACCTGGAAGAGCCTGGTGAAGACGTCGAACTCGAAGATGGACACGTGCCCGCTGCAGGTGAGGTCGATGGTGGTGCGCAAGGCCAGGGCTGTGCAGCCTGGTTCCACAGGGTGGCAGGTGCCCAGGAGGGACTCAAACTCAGCCCAGGGCAGCACGCACCTGGGTGGGAGAGGGGTGGGGGAGACACCGCTGAGGCCTCTTGGAGCCTATGATGGGACGCTCTGCAGGAGGGAAGCAGCTGTGGGCCTGGACTCCTGGGTCCCTGGGCCAGGGTGGGATGGGGCTCTGGGAGCTGAGGGTCCCTGAGGACAAAGGCTTACTCACCGAGCTCCACAATGCTCCCTCCAGAAGATGTGGGCTGGGGCCTTGGTGAGCTGGTACACGTGTCCACAGTACTTCCCCCCGGGGAAGAGTGCGTGCAGCTCTGCGTGCATGTGGCTGAAGATGATGGCCAGCTTGGCCAGCTGTCGCCTGTGGGGATGGGCAAGGACTCTGGCTATCCTCGAGGCTCCCACTGACACCCTCTTCCTCCCGTCATGGGGAACACCTGCAGGGACAAGGCTCTGGACTCTGTCTCATCAGTGTAAGGTAAGAGTCCATTCCTGCTGGGTGTGGTGGCTCACGCCTGTAATCCCAGCACTTTGGGAGGCCGAGGTGGGTGGGTCACTTGAAGTCAGGAGTTCATGACTAGCCTGGCCAACATGGTAAAACCCTGTCTCTACTGAAAATACAAAAACTGGCCTGGCATGGTGGCATCCATCTGTAATCCCAGCCACTCAAGAGGCTGAGGCAGGAGAATTGCTGGAACCCAGGAGGTGGAGGTGGCAGTGAGCTGAGATCGTGCCACTGCACTCCAGCCTGGGTGACACAGCAAGACTCTGTCTCAAAAAAAAAAAAAAAGTAAAAACTATATATATGCCTTTTATTAGATTTGGCCAGATGTAGTGGCTCATGCTTGTAATCCCAGCACTTTGGCAGACTGAGGTGGGTGGATCACTTGAGGTCAGGAGTTTGAGAATAGCCTGGCCAACATGGTGAAACCCTGTCTGTAATAAAAACTACAAAAACTATCACTGCGTGGTGGTGGGTGCCTGTAATCCTAGCTACTCGGGAGGCTGAGGCAGGAGAATCACTTGAACCCAGGAGGCGGGGGCTGCAGTGAGTCAAAATCACTGCACTCCAGCCTGGGCAACAGAGTGAGACCATGTCTAAAAAAAAAAAAAATTATGCTGACTTTTGCAGAAATCCAGCTTTCCTATATATTAAGGGAAGACTATTTGATTCTGTATGATGGTGGTTCTACCTACAGGTACGAGTGTCTGACTAGTCAACTCTGCCTTCCAAGAATGATTGTGCCTCGGCATTTTCATTTAAAACATAGATAATATTTATGAAAAAAATTCCTTTTATCACTCTCTTATAATTTGGGCATTATAGTGATTAAAAAACTATAGGTGGGTATGTTGTTAAACCTCTGCATATCATTTCAGGATGAATTAAGGAAGCACTTGGCTGGACATGGTGGCTCTCGCCTGTAATCTCAGCATTGCGGGAGGCTGAGGTGGGAAGATCGCATAAGGCCAGGAGTTTGAAACCAGCCTAGACAACATAGCAAGACCTCCTCTCTACCAAAAAATAAAAAGATTAGCCTGGCATGGTGGTGCACACCTGTGGTCCCGGCTCCATGGGAGGCTGAGGTGGGAGGATCACTTGAGCCCACGAGATTGAGGCTGCAGTGAGCCATGATGGTGCCACTGTACTCCAGCCTGGGTGACAGAGCAAGACCTCGTGTCCCAAAAACCAAAAAAATAGAGACACTACAAAATATTTGATATAAAGAAGTGTCATGAGTCACTGAACTAGACCTTGTTCTGGGCTCTGGGCCCCAAACCTCGTCTGCCCTGTCACTCTGAGGTTCCTTCCCCTGTGCAGTGCAGCAGAGAGGTGGCCTCCAGGCAGGTCTCGGAGGAACTAATTCCTCAGGAACTAAAGACCAAGTGGGTAGTCCAGGCAGAAACCGTGACGGGGACCTAATGATCAGTCTCTTTGGGTGTGTCCATCTACCTCTCCTCAACCTAGGAGCCCATGGGGTCTCCACATTCTGAGGCCTGATCCTCCCAGCTGGGCCTCCCAAAGAGCTGGGATTACAGGTGTGAGCCACTGTACCTAGCCAGACCAGGCCAAGTTCTGATCACAAATGTGCACACATCTAGAGAACTTTGAATCAGATAATAATAGTAATAGCTAACTTTTATTTTATCCTCAACGTAGGAAGCCCCATAGGGTCCCCAAATTCTGAGATAGTGGGATAGTGGGAACCAGAATCGGGCTGCTGGGTGACCGAGGAAAAGGCAAAATGGGGCTGAGAGCGTGGGCGCCCAAGGAAGGAGAAAACTGGGTGGCCCATTTTCCAGGTTCCAGTAGGAAGGAGGGGCTGGGTCTGGACCCCTGGGTCTGAGGGAGGAGGGGCTGGGGGCCTGGATCCCTGAGTCTGAGGGAGGATGGGCTGGGGGCCTGGATTCCTGGGTCTGAGGGAGGAGCTGCTGGGGGCCTGGCTCCTGGGTCTGAGGGAGGAGAGGATGGGGCCTGAGTTACTAGGTCTGAGGAAGGAGGGGCTGGGGGCCTGGATTCCTGGGTCTGAGGGAGGAGGGGGCTGGGAGCAAGACCTGGGCTTCACCCCTGAGGACTTTGTTCTGGGGCGAAGGCTCACCTGAGACTGGAGCCCGCCCGGAAGAGCTCGTCGTTGGCACTCCTTCGGCCCCGGGGCGGCAGCAGCGCGCCCAGCTGCCTGCTCTTGGCCTCCAGATTGGCCAGGTAGACGAGGAGAAAGTCCCTGGAGCCGCCGGGACCCCCGGGGCCGCCTCTGCCGGCCGCCCGCTGAGCACTGGCCACCTCTCGAAGCAGCTGCGCTGTGCGGGGCAGCAGGTCCCGCAGCGAAGGGGGACTGAGGGACAGCCGAGGGTCGCTGCATTGCTCTTCTAGGCGCTGCAGCATCCTCACTGCCCGGCCCAGGGCGCGGGCCTCTTCCCACTGTCGCCCCCACGGGGCCACCGCCACAGCCATGGGATCCTCGCGTATGCCGGGAGGGACCGGTGCGGCCGGGGTAGGCGCCGCCTCGCCCAGAGTGAAAGGAGAGGGCGGGCCCTAGAGAACCGGGGAGGGGCCTGCAGGTACCAGTGTCTCCAAAGCGGGCGGGGGCTGGAGGATCTGGCACGTGCGTCTTCAAGAGGTGGGATTTGGAGGCCGGGAGCGGTGGCTTATGCTTGTAATCCCAGCATTTTGGGTGGCCGAGGTGGGAGGATTACGTGAGCCTGGGAGTTCAAGACCAGCCTGGGCAACATAATGAGGCTCCATCTCTAAAAAATTTATTAAAAATAAAGTAAAATTTGACCAGCCGCGATGGCTCACATCTGTAATCCCAGCACTTTGGGAGGCTGAGGCAGGCGATTAGGCAGGCGGATCACCTGAGGTCAGGAGTTCCAGACCAGCCTGGCCAACATGGTGAAACCCTGTCTCTACTAAAAATACAAAAAAGAAAAAAAAATTAGCTGACGCGGTTTGAGTTTGATTCTCAAAAAGGAGCAGGGTGGGGTGGCTTTGGTGGGTTGCGATAGGAGGGGGCTTCTCAATGGGTGGGTGGGAAGTGCAGGTAGGATGTCTGGGTTCCTTCAGAGGGGGGCAAGGGGCTAGGGGAGGCCTGGGACTTTTTATTTTATTTTATTTTATTTTTAAAACAGAGTCTTGCTTTGTCGCCCAGGCTGGAGTGCAGTGGTGAGATTTTAGCTCACTGCAACCTCTGTCTCCGGGCTCAAGTGATCCTCCCACCTCACCCTCCCGAGTAGCTGGGGCCACAGGTACTCATCCCCAGTCCTCCCTATTTTATTTTATTTTTTGTATTTTTAGTAGAGACAGGGTCTCACCATGTTGCCCAGGCTGGTCTTGAACTTCTGAGCTCAAGCGATCCGTCCACGTCAGCCTCCTAAAGTGCTGGGATTACAGGTGTGAGCCACTTTGCCCTGCCACAGGACTCTTCTTGGAGAGGGGATGGGAAGGGCTGGGAGCTACCGGGAGGAGGGACTTGGACACAGCACCTTGTCGAAGGTCTGGGTCTTTGGTCGTGGCATGGGGTTAAAGGTCAGATAACTGAGATGTCAAAGGGGAACCGGTCAGGGAGGCATTGCTATCTCTCTGTCTCCGAGGAAGGAGGCACAGAGCCACGAGGCCCGTGGGTTCCCTAGAAGCAAGGGTTGGCAAGTGGGTGTCTGAGGGGGCAGGAATTTGGCAACAAGATTTCTGGGTCCTAATAATGGTGTGGCATGGGAGAAATCAGGTCAGAGTTAAGATACTCCTGAGTCCCGAAGAAGCTAGGCGGGAGGATGGGGTTCAAGACTGTGGGGGCGGGGAGCAACTTGTTTGTGTAGGGGTGGCTGGGCGTGGCTTTCACCCAACCTGTAGAACCTGTAACATCAGCCTTCGCTGGGCAGCCATCAGGGCGGGCGCTGTGGGCCTCGCACCTAAGCAAGGCATTCTGGCCACGCCCCATCCCAGGCCAAGCCAAGTTCTGTTTCTTTTCTTTCTTTTTTTTTTTCCTGTGATACAGGGTCTTGCTTGGTCTTGCTCTGTTACTCAGGCTGGAGTGCAGTGATAGTGGACTGATCATAGCTCACTACAGCCTGGATCTCCTGGGCTCAATCAATCCTGCCTGCTTGGCCTCCCAAAGAGGTGGGATTACAGGCATGAGCCGCCATGCCTGGTCAGAACAGGCCAACTTCTGATCGCAAATGTGTACATATCTAGAGAACTTCAAATCAGAGAATAATAGTAATAACTAACTTTTACTTTATTTTATTTTTTTTGAGACAGGGTTTTGCTCTATCTCCTAGGCTGGAGTGCAGTGGTTTGATCACCACTCATTGCAGCCTTGACTCCGGGGTTCAAGTGATCCTCCTGTCTCAGCCTCCCTAGTAACTAGGACTACAGGCATACACTGCCACGTTGGCTATTTTTTTTTAAATTTCAATTTTTAGTAGAGACAATGTCTCACTATGTTGCACAGGCTGGTCTCGAACTCCTGAGCTCAGGCGATCCTCCAGCCTGGGCCTCCCACAATGCTGGGATTACAGGTGTGAGCCACTACACCTGCCATAGCTAGCATTTATTGAATACCTGCTGTCTGTCAGGTCCTGTGTGTAATGCTTTGCAAACATTTGCACACCGAATTCTCAAGAGCCCTTTGAGGTCATAGGGCAGGGGGCTTAGGATGAGAGCCACACCTCCCAGTGCACCCTGAGCCCCTCCTTAGCCCCACCACTATCTTGTAGGAATTGAAAATCTTAAAATTTTTCTTTAAATTCGACCAAAAAAAAAAAAAGAAAAAAGATCGGGCCGGTTGCGGTGGCTCATACCTATAATCCCGGCACTTTAGGAGGCCAAGGCGGGCGGATCACTTGAGGTCAGAAGTTTGAGAACAGCCTGGCCAACATGGTGAAACTCCATCTCTGCTAAAAATACAAAAATTAGGCTGGGTGCAGTCGCTCATGCCTGTAATCCCAGCACTTTCGGAGGCCAAGGTAGGTGGATCACTTGAGATCAGGAGTTCGAGACTAGCCTGGCCAACATGGCAAAACCCCCTCTCTATCAAAATACAAAAATTAGCCGGGCGTGGTGTTGCGCGACTATAGTCCCAACTACTCAGGAGGCTGAGGCAGGAGAATTACTTGAACCCAGGAGGCAGAGGTTGCAGTGAGCCAAGACTGTGGCACTGCACTCCAGCCTGGGTGACAGCGCGAGACTCCGTCTCAAAATAAAAATAAAAATAAAAATAAAAAATAAATAATAAATAAATAATAAAAATAAAAATACAAAAATTAGCTGGGCATGCTGGTATGACTATAATCCTAGTTACTTGGGAGGCGGAGGCAGGAGAATCGCTTGAACCTGGGAGGCAGAGGTTGCAGGGAGCTGAGATCATGCTACTGCACTCCAGCCTGGGCGACAGAGTGAGACTCTGTCTCAAAAAACAAAACAAAACAAAACAAAACAAAACAAAACAGGTTGAAAACCCATTAGCCTGACAAAAGTTCAAAGTGTTGACTATGCAAGTGTTGCCAAGGAGCTGCTATGAGTGCAGATGGACAAACTATATTGGAGAGCAATTTAGCAGCATCCACGAGACCTTTGGACAAATGGACAGGTCATTTGTCTGGCTACCTCCTTCAGAGCTGTGGCTTGTAAACACTTTTGCTGGACATTAATACAGCTATAGACACCTGAAGCAAAAGTTTCACAGACGAGCTCTCACTCGGACTATGAGCATGCACTCTAATAGCTTCTATTTAATTCCATTTCATTAAAGGAAAAATTGTGTACAACCCACTAAATTGATTTCACAACCCACTAATGGATCTTGTTTGGCCGTTTGAAAAATACTGCCCTAAGAAACTCCAAGAGACATGTTCAGGGATGTTAACTGCATTCTTGTCGGAAGTGGAGGAAAGTAGCAACAAGGTGGGTGTTTACCACCAGCAGCCCGACATAAATTGTGGTGTATTCTCACAATAAACTCTTGTGCAGCATTTAAGGTGAATAAACTGAACACAAATACCAGCAGTGTATGTCATAAACACATAATGATGAGTGGCCTGGGTTGAATCATTTCCTTCCCCACCAAGTTCATGTTCACTGGAACTTATGAATGTGACCCTATATGGAAATAAGGTCTTTGCAAATGTAATCAGATTAGGATAAGGTTCTATTGGATCAGGGTGGGTCCTAGATCTGACTGATGTCCTTATGAAAAGGAAATTTGGATACAGTTACAGGTACATACACACACACACAACATATGATGATGGCAGCGGAGAGATTGGAGTGATGCATCTATAAGTCAAATAACACCAAAGATTACCAGTGAACACCACAAGCTGGAAGAGGTACGCTGCTCACGGCTGTAAGCCTGTCACTTTGGGAGGCTGATGTGGGAGGATTGGTTGAAGCCAGGAGTTTGAGACCAACAGGTTGGGCGCAGTGGCTCACGCCTGTAATCCCAGCACTTTGGGAGGCCATGGCAGGCGGATCACAAGTTCAGGGTTTGAGACCAGCCTGACCAACATGGTGAAACCCCGTCTCTACTAAAAATACAAAAAGTAGCCAGGTGTGGTGGCACGTGCCTGTAATCGCAGCTACTCAGGAAGCCGAGGCAGGAGAATCGCTTGAACCCAGGAGTCGGAGGCTGCAGTGAGCCAAGATCATGCCACTGCACTCCAGGCTGGGCGACAGGGCGAGACTCCGTCTCAAAACAAAAACAAAAACAAAACAACAACAAAAAACTGGGCGTGGTAGGATGCTGCCTGTGGTCCCAGCTACTGGGGAGGCTGAGGTGGGAGGATTGCTGGACCCCGGGAGTTTGAGGCTTCAGTGAGCTATGATTGTGTTGCTGTACTCCAGCTTGGATGACCCAGTATCTTGTCTAAAAAAGAAAAGAAAAAAAAAATCTGCAACTATATGAACTCTTTTCCCAGATTTGACAGGTTTTTTGTATCTGCTTTGTAACTATATGAAGTCTTTTTCCAGATTTGCCTCAAAGTGGATACAAATGAAGTGAATGACATGAAAAGACGCTCCACAATATGATGCATTAGGGAAATGAACATGAAAATCACAGTGAATGCGGCTTCACACCCACTACGATGACTGTCATAAACAAGACAGACAATCACAAGTGTTGGCAAGGATATGGAGAAATTGGAACCCTCTCCACTGATGGTGGGAATGTAAAATAGTGCAGCTGCTTTGGAAAATAGTTTGGCATTTCCCCAAAATGTTAAACATAGGGCTAGAGCATTCCTACGTGTATATATATATCCCAGAGAATTGGAAGCATATATCTACCCAAAGACTTGTGGAAACAACCTCAAAGTCCATCAGTTGAAGAATGGATAAACAAAATGTAGTCTACTCATACAACGGAAAATTCTTCGGCCATTAAAAGGAATGATTTTTTGTTTGTTTGTTTCGAGATAGGGTCTTGCGCTGTCTCCCAGAGTGGAGCGCAGTGGCATGATCTCAACTCACTGCAGCCTCGATCTTCCGGGCTCAAGCAATCCTCCTGCCTCAGCCTCCC